TATTTCATTAGACTAACAAAAGAAACAAGGTCTTTGTGAATTAATGAAATATGCAGAGAAATGATCACTTTTATAAATTAGTGAAAAGTATGAATTCTCAAGCAGAGTATTACTTGACTAGTTTACCTGTACTGCCCCCCCCCCACCAAAAAAAAAAAAAAAAAAGCAGCAATAAGAAATTTTGTACTTGTAATATCAAAATCCTATTTTATTTTCGAATTGATATTTATTACTTCCTGAATAATAAATAACTTTCTATTTATTATGAACTATATCACCAGAACAATGCAAATCTGTGATGTTAAGTTACACCCACTCTCTTGAACTGTATATGTATTGCATTTTATATATTTTGTATTTTTGTTATATAACTTTTAACTCTGATTGTTGCAAGTTATTTTATATCCTAAGGTTCCATTTAACATAAAGCAGTTCAGTAAGAAATTAAAATTTACTTTTTTGAATTAAACTTCCTGTTAAGAAGAGTTGATCATAAAGAAAGTGTTATGAAGTAGACTACTCTCTGGAATAAATGTTGTCAGATCAACAGATGGTAACTCAGCTGACATTCACTGTGGCATACTGCTTTTATAACAGTACCTCATTTACATACAATACTACACCTCCCTGAACTGAAATGGCTTTATGCCTTTTTGTTGATCTTTGACTTCTTCTCATTATACTGAGGAATCTAAACAGTCTTTTTTGATGTGTATCTTGATTACTACTTAGATCTGAGTTCATTTTCCTTTTCTGACTCTTCATCAGATTTCTGGTCATTAACATCCATAGATTGTTCAGTTTCACTACTGGATTCATTAATCTCCTCTTCATGTTCTTCACCTTCAGATTCTTCATCCATTTCTATAGGTTCTCAGGTTCCATTCTGCTTCTGAATTGATCCGCATGAGCCAGTACATTTTGTCCATTTTTCGTCGGTATTTCTGTGTTATAAAATTTGCCTTCTTTGGTTTAGATTCTTTGTCCTTTTTATACCATACTCTTTCACTTTTTGAAAATTACATTGTTATGGGAGTTCTAATCTGTCTACTCCATTAATGCAGAGGGTCTTTGTAGTCTGCCAGCATGTGGAATTGTCCTATAGCTTAACAGTAATCTTGGTAAGTAACTTTCTATATTATCATTAGATGGTAAAATGCTTTTTAGTCCCATTTTCACAGCCTGAACCATTCTTTCTGCAATTCCATTTGATTGTGGGTGGTAAGGTGTTTTATACAGAATGCATCCAATATGCTTTAGCTATGAGCACAAACTTTCCTGGCAAAGTGCATTATCAGAGACCAAAGTTTTAGACACCCCATTCCTTGAAAATATTGTTCTTAATAATTGTTTTACAGTGGTGGCTTTTCTGTCAGCAACCTTAATTACTTTGGGCTATCCTGAAAATGAGTTCACTAAAATTAAAAATAGCCCCATGCCTTTAATATGGGCATGATTTGTGTGTATCAGAGCCCATGGTTCTTTTTCTTTAGGCCACAAGTGAATTTTATTTTGGTAAAAGTTTGTTTTTTTTTTTGTTTTTTTTCAGCACATTTGGGGCACCTTTTTACATAGTCTGGCCACCATGCTTGTAATTTTAATCTCATTTGTGTACACTTTTTAGTGCTTTTCTTAAACTTTGTGGGGGTATTATAATATCTCTATTGCATATTATGCCTTTCTCCACACTTATGTCTTGATTCTTTGCAGGGTCTTTCTGCCATTGAACAATTGCTCCATGTGTTTCCTTTTTCTCTCTAAAATTTTACTTAACACTGGATCTTGTATGGTTTCCATTCTGAAATGATTTAGGGGTAACACATCTGTTTTAAACCTAGTGCAGTATTTCATCTTCTGAATTTTCAGACATTTCTAATATTTTATTGTTGAAATTTAGTCTGGATAGCACATCTACATGGGGAATAGTTTTCCCCTTTACATATATGATGTTGAAATCAAAGGCCATGAGTTTTATAGCCCGTCTTAAAATTCTAGAAGATGTGACTTTTGGTAATTTCTTCCTGGGGTTAAATATAAACTCTAAAGATTTGTGATCTGACTTTAACAAAACTTTTCATACTAACAAAAAATTCCAAGCTCTTTCTGTGCTTCATACTATTGCTAACGTTTCTTTCTCAATATTTGAGTAGTTAACTTCAGTTGACGTTAATTTTCTTGACAGGTACATTATTGAATGACCTTGAAATAAAGTTGCAGCTACAGCATGTTCACTTGTATCTGTAGTCACTGTCACTTCTTTCTTTTAGCTCAAAAATTTTTGTAATCAGTTTTCTTAGTACCTTTTTTTTAAGCTTTCAAAAGCTATATTTTACTTTGAGTTCATTTAAATTCTGTATTCTTTTTCCATAATTCTGCAAATGGTTCTATTAGGTCGCTGTATATAGGTAGATATTTGCTATAAAAATTGGTCAATCCCCAAAAGGATTTTAATTTGTTTTTATTTTTTGATGTAGATACTTCCAAAATTTATCAGTTTATTATCTGGTGAAATTCCTTCTTGAGATATTTGGTATCCCAAATATGATATTTTGTTGCAATTTAACTCACATTTATAAATATTTATCATCATATCAGCATTTTTATTTGTTTAAAACTTGTTCAGTTTTTTTTAATTCTTCTTTACTGCAAGCACCTATGCCTATATCATCTTAATATATGATTATATTTTTTACCCCCTCCAATAGAACTTTTTCAATTACCTTTTGAAAAATATGGTTTGAAGTCTTAACTCCAAATGGAAGATCTTAGTAAGCCTATTGGGGTATTAATTGTAGTGACTTCTTGAAATTTTTTGTCAATTTCTATTTGGTCATATGCAGGTTTCAAGTCAATCTTGGGAAAGTATTTCATTCCTACTAATTCTTGACTTGCTGTTTCTACCTTAGGTAAGGGGGAATGAATCAGAGTATATTTGATGATTCATACCTTCTTTGTAATTCCTGCATATTTTCAAATCACCATTGAGCTTTTGTATTGTAATATTTGGTGAAGCCTATCTGGTATCACCTTGGGTAACTTTCTCCAATATGCTTTGTTCTATTTTTTATTTTAGTTTTGCAACTACCATGGGTAGAATGTGGATATGTTTTTCAAGATTCAAAATAGATCAGGTGATTATTTTCTTTTAAATGAATACTCACTTTATATCTTTTTCAGTTGTCCTGCATCAGGTGCTTCTGACTTTATACAGTTTATTAATTTTACTGTATCCACTTTTAAAACATCTATTGCCAAGAATCAAAGATTTTTTTTTGTGCATTCTATAACAGTGATGGGAATAATCTCAAAATGTTTTGTTTTGTTTTTTTGTTTTTTTGTATCAAAAGTTCCTTCAAAGGAACCTAGAGTTTTGATGACAGATCCATCAAATTGTTTTAAATTAAGATTACTTTTTCTTAATTTGGGTTTACCCATTTTCCCCAGAAATTCCTTGGGATCAAGGTAACCTCGTTCCCCATGTCAATCTGCATGAGAAAAATTATGCCATTCAATTTTACTGTCGCTCTACTTTTTGCAGTTGTTCTTATCAAAAATACTTCTGTATTTTCAGTATGAAGTTTTATACTTTCTACCCTCTTTTTGTATCTGCACACACATTGGAAATGGTCTTTTCTTTTACAGTTTAAACTGTTTTCCTAGGGCTGGACATTTGTTTTTGTTTGTTTTGTGTTCCTTGTCGCAATATTTGCGCTTAATTAGGATTTTAGTTGGGTTGTATGCTTAACATTGTTTTTAGAATTATTAAATTCATTAATTAACTTTAATTGCTGCAAGAATTTTACACTTGCTTCTAAATTCGTATAATTCTCTTGTAGCTGTTCTAGGATCTTATGTTAGTATGTAACATCATACGTGTTCAATTTGTCTTCTATAGACATTTCTCTTGAACCCAGTTTTTCAAATTTGCAATACCTTGACACTTCTTTCAATTTGTCTAAATATTGGATTATGGTTTCATTCGGGTTCAACAGATGGTAACTCAACTGCCATTTGCTGCGGCATACTGCTTTTGTAGCAGTATCTCATTTAAATACAATACCACAAAAATAAATCTGCTTTGAATCTTTAAACATAAAATGTCTATAGAAAGCTAACACAAAACAAAAGAAATAAAATGCAATATATTAGAAACTTGATCTCATCACTTAGTAATCCTCATTACCATGTTCACTGTTACATTGAATAATACCTTATGTTACCATAACAACGGAATACCTCATTACTAAGAAGTGAAATAAGATTGCATGACTAATAAAATGACATGTTTTATATATAAAACTGTTTTAGCTGTTCCACCTTTTTTTTTTCTCTGGTACTAAAACTATTTTAGTAATGCCTTATAAGTTTCTGGCCATTCCTCCTGACAGCTGTTGAAATCTTGAAAAAAAAAAAACTCAATTATGGCATCGATGTCCATCACCGAGTAGTTTTTGTTTCCAAATATATGTACGTCTGTTTAAAACATGTTTCTACACTATATGTAGAAACATGTTTTAAATGGATAGTGTAGAAACGTGTTTCATTTGTAAAGTTTGTACATTGTTTCATTTGTAAAGTTTGTACATTGTTTCATTTGTAAAGTTTACAGTTACTTTCCATTAAAAAAAACAAAAAAAAAAAACAAGAAACAAACAAAAAAAAAAACAGATTTTGCACTGGTTTCCATCAAAAGACTATCTACATAAATCTCTTTTGTCAAAGTTCCATTTTTATTTTTTTAAACTCTCACCATCATCACCAGAATATATACTGCTCTTATATTTTATTTTGAACTATCGAGAATGTGTAGCTAAACAATACTAAACATATGATAAATAGAAAAAAAAATTTTTTTTGTTTTTCTTGTATCAATCATGGCTGCTATGTTTAATGATATCATCAGAGATATATATATATATATATATATATATATATATACACACACACACATCTTATTGTCCTCTGAAAGTGTATTCAATGCATTTTGTTTTTCTTTTCAGACTGGTGATAACATCACATGGGAGACACACAAAGTGACCCTCACCAAAGTAAGTTCTGATGATTTTTATTTCTATTCTTTGATAAAATTGGCATATTCACATAGACTTTTCTTTGTTTGCTCCTTTCTCCTTCATCACAGTGATTATCATTATTATTTTTTCTTAATATCCTATTTTGTTCACTCATGTAGCTCAATCCACCTCTTGGAAATGATGTCATATATGGGTGTGATAGGTTTACTTGATGGATACAGTCTTCCTTAATGTCATTTGTCTCTCTCTCTCTGTTTTTTGTTGTTGTTGGATTACCAGTTATTCTTCACGGAGTATACAACAATAAATTTAGCAAAAATTAATTTATTTCAATTATTACACATTGGTAATATTTTCACCAAAAGAAAAAAAAAAAGACAGGAACCTCTCTTGAGCATGTTTTCTGTCACTGTTGTACAAAAGTTAAGACAAAGGAAGGCTTATGGTATTTTAGTTTGCTTCATCAGGCTCACATTTAATTAAGTCCTGTACATTAAAGTACTTCAGTGATAGCATTGTGTGTGTGTATATGTGTGTATATATATATATATATATATATATATATATATATATATATATATATATAATGTAAAATAGATAGGTCACTTAATAAAACAAGAACAAACAAAAGGGTACCAATATAATCAGTCCAATAAACATTTATTAAATATTAACTACACGACAGAAAGGAAACACAGAGAAAGGTTTTAAGTTCGGATTTTTCAGACATGCTGATGTCCTTCATCAACCGACTGAGGAATAAACAGAGAAATGGGAACCTTCCCCCTTGCCAACTTATAACTCTCTTTATCTATGTTTACAATCTCACTCCTCTTATGACACACACTAGTAATAATAGACATACCTAACGCTTTTACACCGATCAAAATTTTAAATTTAAGTTTATTTTCATAAAAAGTTTTGCACATCTAGAAATCAGACAGAGATCAGGTTTTTACTAACAATACGATTTCCACTGGAAAATATACCATCTACAAAAACATCTGTTGGTGAATAATTCCCATTTCTCTGTTTATTATCGGTCCGTTGATTAAGGACACAGGCATGTCAAAAAATTGTGGACTTAAAACCTTTCTCTCCACGATTCATTTCTGTTAATTGTTAATAATTAATGTTTAATAAATGTTTATCATACTTATATTGGTACCTTTTCATTTGTCCTTGTTTTATTAACTAACCTATCTATTTTACATATTATAAAAAGCACATGCGAACCTTCTATTATTTATTTATATATATATATATATATATATATATATATATATATATATATAATAATAATAATAATAATAATAATAAGACAGAGACTTTAATTATCCATTTCGTTTATAATTTTTATAAAAACTGAGGAGATTTCGCTCTGATGAGTTGAACATCTCGGTGCTCATGAAATAAAAATTATAAACAAAATGGATAATGAAAATCTCCGTCTTATCATTATAATGCTCTGTAGTCTACATTGAGCTCTCCCTGGATTTATATTCTCCTTGGAATTATCCCTTCCAGTCACAAACTGGTAAAACGTATGTGTATATATATAATATATATATATATTTACACCAGTAAAGTGTAGCAGATTTTGTTATCTGTAAATGAATTAAGTGCAGTAATCATGAAAAAAGATTTCTATTCACAATTCTTATGTCAGAATCATGACATTGTCTTGCAATCTATCTTGCATACATTTGTGCATATACTGTTCAGAGTTCTCTATACTCTGTATTGACAACCACCCAATAATATTGTAGGATTTTTTTTTTATTGTATTGATTGTATCAATAGGAACAAATACTTCATATCAGTATTACAAAAACCAACTTTTTCCTTTCTTTTTTTTATTGAGGGGTTTTCTTTGTGCTTGTGTGTTTTTTGTAATACACACATACATTTTCATATATATATATATATATATATAAAATATACACGCATACATTTTCATATATATATATATATATATATATATATATATATATATATATATATATAGAACACCAGATATATATCTTACTGTTCTTTCTTTTATATATATATATATATATATATATATATATATATATATATGAAACTTTTTTTTTTTTTTTACATTTGGTTATTTCTTAAAAGTATTTTTTAGAAAACTATTAATTAGCTTACCAGTTGAAAAGGCCAAATGCTATAAAATTTATACATGCACACACACATATATATATATATATATATATATATATATATATATATATATAAACTGTATTTTTCTCATCTTACATTTGGTTATTTCTTAAAGTATTTTTTCAGAAAACTATTACTTAGCTTACCAGTTGAAAAAGCCAAATGCTATAAAGTTTATATACACACACACACACACACACACACACATATATATATATATATATATATATATATATATATATATATAAAAAAACACACACACACACACACATATATATATATATATATATATATATATATATATATATATATATATACACACACTTCTTGATGAACAGATAGTGTGCCATTGAAGATGCCATAAAAGCCTACTGGACCAAAAACCAAGGGACCCCATCTGTCATTTTTGTAAAATTTACTTCTGTTGTCTAATTTTTTTTTTTTTTTTTTTTTTTTCCTCAGTTGATAAAATATTATCAGCTTGTGAAAGTTTAGAGATAAGAATTTAATCAAGTCTAATGCCAAAGGTAAAAGAGGATTGGTTGAAATGGGGATGGGTGGGAAAAGTAATGTTCACCCAAGTAAAACATTCTCTCATTTTTAGAATCTGTGCATGCATTGCTGTTGCGATATCAGATATTACATAGCAAATTTTAGCAGGGTTGCCTGGTATTCAAATTAAACTAGTCTGTATATGTGAATATTTTTCAGTAGTTTTGGAAAATATTAATTTAGTCCATTAAATATTAAACGAAAACAATTAAGAAATGGCTGTTTACTGTTTTTGTTACACTTTTTTTTTCTTTTTTTTTTCTTTGGTAAATGAGAAAATGAAAGATTTATCTTAGTGACTTTTAGTCCAGTTTTGAGCAATTATTCAAATTCAGTCTAATTTAGAAACAGGTAAATAATAAAAAAAAAAAAAAAAAAAATTCACTGTGACATTAATTTTATAAGTCCCAAAATTTCATACACTGGTGTCCTCAGTGACACGTGGCCCAATGGATAAAAGCATTGATTGGATCTAGTGACTTGACCCAAAGAATTGTGAGTTCAATACCTGGCAAAATACCGAACAAAATTCAATACCTAACAAAAACTTGGAGAGTTGCGTTAAAGGGAGATATCTGGAAGAGGCATGGCACATGGACAAAATAAAAGGTTCATTTTTAAATTCCAATCACTTGAAGGCCAGAGCGTACAATGGCCGAAACTTCATGAATATGGCAAAATAGATGAGGACAATAGTCTGAATAATGTAAATAGTGTAAATCTTCTGTCTTCTTCAATCCCATTCATCTATGTCCTTTCCTCAATCCCCCACACCCTATACTCAATTTGTTCTCTCACTTTTACTCCCTGCACACCCCTGTGTACTAGTGGCATTCCTGCCTTGCTTGGGGTGAAATGATTTAAAAATAAAAAAAAAATAATAAAAAAAAAAAAAAGTATGATTGTGTAAATTACTTCCAAATGGAATTACCATCCAAAGTATGATGATAAACTACATCTGCATCCTGAGTAAGACAATAGCAAGGCCTCTGATCAGGAGGCTTTGAGGAGTGTGGAACCACCTCAATTGCTGGTGTTACCAGGTCCACTCTGATTTGGGGTGGTAGCATCTGTTAGGGTCCCAACTATGGGCAAATAATTACCCCCCCCCCAAACTGGGGTCAAAAGACTAAGAAAATGTAAAAATAGGTTTTAATACCAGAAATACTTTGTAAAAATTATTACCAGCTATGCATTTTTGAAGGAATAAAAATGTCACCAGCATTGGTAATAAAATTTGTTGGCATTAAATAACCCATTGTGGTTGATATGCCATAAAACAAAACAAACCAAACCAGATGGAATTGACTATGCCATCCCATTCAAGGAGCACCATTGCAAAAGATTACCTAAGGAAATGCATCTATTTTTAACAAAATTACTGCTTTGGAATAGTGAATTCAAAAACATACATTGACTTATTTGAACTATTGTCCTCATTTTAGGTTATTATAGACACATTTCAGTCAAGCACTCTCTGGCCATCTTCAGGTATCCATTTTTTTGGCTGTATATAGGTGCTGATTATTGTCTTAGTTTCTGGGATGCCGGTTCATGTTCATTTATGCTCAACCAGATTATATTGTTCCACTACTTGATCCAGATTGAACTCACAACCACTAAATTACAGTGACACTTGACTAACCAACACTTAGATCCATTGCAACACCATCGTAAAGGATATTAGTTGTTTCAATATTTGGTTATCATAGTGATTTCGTACTGCTTTTGATAATTTGATTTTTGAAATGAGGAATTATCAATATAATTTGACTATTGTTCTCATCTTTGATTGTTGTAAATGTTGTTATAGGCATAACATTTCAGCCAAATACCTTCTGACCATCTTCAAGCAAAAATCAAAGAAAAAATGGTTTGTTAAGATAATTTTTAAATGATATCCTTAGAAACTCTTGCTAAAAAATGTAAATTTAATCTTCATACCACACTGCTTTCAGGTTAAAAATGGATTTGAAGGACATTTTTATTATAATTTTTTTTTGTAAGATTAACTTTGATTTAATAAAATATCTAGTAACATGAACAGATGGTCTGGCTAATTTTTATTTGATTTAAATTTTAATTGGAGAAATATTGAAAATAAAATGGTTTTACAAAATGTATTTTCAAGCAAAAAAAAAAAAAGAATAGAAATGTGTAAGATTTAAATTAGATTCCATTAGCATTGGAATATCATGCATTTCTTGTCATGTCATATATATCAGTATATAAATCCTATAATTTAGCAAAGGATATTTAAGAAAAGGCTAAAATTAATTATCACAATCGTATAA